CTATGATGAACCAGTCAAGAACCAAAAAGTCTTTGGATTCGGTTCGGATTGGTCATTTTTACCAAAATCTACCTAAATGTAAAAAACAAGTACCCAATACAATCAAAGAAAATTGTAATTTTATTACCCAAAAGATCTCGAAAAAATTGTAACTGTATTATCCAAATAAACAGAAATCTACTCAAATTATCTGAAAATACTTGAAATATCCTAAAATTTAAATATATATAAATATTATTTTTTGGTATCTAATTATATTTCTGTATGTTTGGGTATCCATTGAATTTTTGGTTTAGTTCGGGTTCAGTTCTAGTTCTTCAGATATAAGAATCTAACTCCCGTTTCAGTATTTGTGATGATTTTGGTTTGGTTCGATACTCTTAATTTGATAAATTCCAGTTACATTATAGAATCAAGATATTTCATCCATGCCTAATATTATACTTGTTATGATGAATAGTAAATGTGTTAAAAACTATGGCTTTGAATGAGAGTAGCGATTCGTTATAATCCATGCATAACATCTTGATGTCTCATGTACTAAGTCGGATCGTGTTAAAATGGAGAAACGCGTAAAAATTTTTTTGATAAAAAGAGAAACTAATATTTTCATTGTTATAAGCTTTAAAACGATTAACGGAAAAACTAATTAGCCTTCTATTGTCTTCTATCCAATTTGCTCATAAAAATACGTACTATTTAACCCCTTTGTATATTAAAACATTAGGTGGTAAACTAATAATTAAAATGCACTAGGCATTAACGTTCTGTCCGATGAAAATCTGTCTATATTCTAAAGACTAAACTGCATACCATTTTACAACCTTGTATATTAAAACATTAGGTGATAAACTAATAATTAAAATGCACTAGGCATTTACGTTCTGTTCGATGAGAATCTATCTATTCTAAATTCCATTAGTCAACAATGTAACAATTAACGACACCGCCCATAAACAAAGTGGTTTGACTTCAAAATTTAAGAATTATCATCTTTTTTTGTCTAAACATTACTTTTTCATTTAAGAAGCCAAATAGTTGTAAAATTGTCTTTTAAATCTTAAATTAAGTATTGTTTTTCTGTAATGTCCCAACCACCATTTCTCTTAATGGGTTTCACGTGCTCTTTTGGTCTGTAGATCCATCATCTACCAACGGCTGGTTCAGTACGTCGGAAAGGTTTTAAAAATTTATTTACCGATCCTACAAATCACCAAATGATCTTTCTCTGTGTTTTGTCCTAATTCACACAGTTCCGACAATCACTTTCTGGAAGGTCCCCCATCTTGAAACTGCTCTAACTCAAGCACTTTTAACTTTAGAGTTCTCTCAGGACAGTTGACCGAAAAGATAAGTGCACTTTGGTGACGTAGGTGGTCAAATCAATTCCCGTGGGCCCACCATCTACCGACGGTAGGTCCGCTACGTTCGGGAGGCTTTGAAGACTTGTTTACCGATCCTTCAAATCACCACATGATCTTTTCCTGTGTTTTGTCTTCACTCACAGAGTTCCGACAATCACTTCCCGGAAGGTCACCTATCTTGGAATTGCTTCAGCTCAAGCACCCTTAACTGTGGAGTTCTCTCCGAACAGTTGACAGAAAAGATAAGTGCACTTTGGTGATATAGGTGGTCAAATCAACACTTTTAAACTTCTCCGCATGCACCACCACATTCCTGAAATTGGGGTGTTATAATTCACCCCCACTAACAGATCGCATCGTCTTTGTTGCGCACCAAGACCGTCACCCCCGATGGTGTGAGTCTTCTTGACTCCACACTTGTCTGGGTTTGGTTATGATACCACTTATAACACTCCAACCACTACCTCTTTTAATGGATCTCACATTCTCTCTCAAGCCCGTGGGCCCAACATCTCTGTCCGACGGTCAGTTCGCTATGTCCAGGAGGCTCAAATACTTGTTTACCGATCCTATAAATCATCATATGTTCTTTCCCCGTGTTTTGTCCACACTCGCACGATTCCGACAATCATTTCCCGGAAGGTCACCCATTCTGAAATTACTCATGCCCAAGCACGCTTAATTGTGGAGTTCTCTCAGGATGTTTGACCAAAAAGATAAGTGCACTTTGGTGATATAGGTAGCCAAATCAATTCTTTTAAACATCTCCGCATGCACTACTACATTTCTAAAATCGGGGTGTTATACTTTTAGTTTTTAATACAAAACTGTAACTAAGATTCCGGTTGTTTATTACTCTATTACTTCAATATCTTTATAAGGGAGATGAAACTATGTAATCTACTAAGAAAGGGTATAACAAACATTTTATTAAGTCTTCTAATATGTGAAATGATAAATTTAAACGATACTTCAAATAAAACGAAGGGAATAGTTTAAAACCTAATAAAAATTGTTACTTTCTGGTTTTAGATTAAATGTCGATTAAGAATTTTTTTGTGGATATTAAAAAAATAATGAATTTTCATTTTTATCATTTTTATTATCCACAAGCTAGGGAAGCATGTACTTGCGGCGCAGACTGTAGTTATTCATATATCGGCCCTCATTTTTTCAAAAATTTCTTATAGCTGGTTAAACGGTGGCTGGAGGAATCAGAAGTTGAGGGTTCGATTCTCACACTTGCAGAAATACCGTAACTTTTTTTTTGGGAAGAATTAGGCCTCTCTTTTTTTTTAAAATTTGTGGCCTTCAAAATGTTAGAGCCGGCTCTATTTATATACTATTCAATGAATTCAAATTAAGCTGCAGTATTCGTGGTTTTCCTTGTGCACCCATACAGTGAATACAGTGCATCATTTTTAAATATAAAATTTATATATTACAGATGACATATAATATATAGATATAGATGTATAAATTAAATATTATATAGACGAAGTCAAACGTATATCGTATAACATCAGCATCGGATAATTGAAGCTATTTCACGTGACAATCGGAGCATTAATTTCGTAAGTTATTGCATATGCTTGATTCGTGGAAGGAGAGATATACGCTAGAATTTTAGAAAGAGTTTCATATATCCAATGATTTTAGGGTTGTAACTTTAAATCGTACGTGATAGTTTCATATGTGCAAATATAGTGATTAAAAATATTGGGAAAGTGTCTATTGTTAAGTTGTTTATAAGTATTTGTAAGGTTATGCGTGTTATAAGTTCTGAAGATACGTGAGCCCTCTCGACTAAAAAGAGAAAAAAACAAAATAAGTTCTGAGATACTCTATGATAGCTAGAAATTGTTTGGGGGAAAGTGTTTCACAAATTTGAATATAACCAGTTAAGTATATGTAAAATTGTATTATACTATTGATGATGTAACAAGTTATATAAGTCTTGGAGTATACCAAAATTTTTGGTAATTTCATTAGTGCAGAACATGCAACGATCACTGGAGATAAAAACAAAGACTAGAAAAAAGTGATTTGACTATAAACTTTGACTAAAAGCTTAAAATTATAATACCAAGACATTTTTTTGAGGTTTGAGCAAAAGATCCTCAAATTCGTCAATTTTTATAATGTTATCTTTAACCTTAAAAAAATATAAATTAAATATATGAAATCAAAAATAATATGCAATGTAACTTATTTTTATTACCGTCAAGTTTATAAAATTTTGATAAATAATATATTAAATCGAATCTCTCGCGACGAGGAATTTAACTCAACCATTTGAATTTTAGAAATCTAATGTATATAACTGTGAAATGTTTACAATATACATATAAGGGTTAGATTGCTTATCATTTTTGACCACGTATGATTAATTTGCATTTTTTTAGTTGAACGGTAAAGTTTCAAAAATTGGTGAGTTAGAAGGTTTTTTTGCACAGAACCCCTTTTCCAAAAATAAAATAATACCAAGACACTTTCATAAACAGTGAAAATCTTGTGTGGAGATCCTCTCAGTCAAATAACTGGACTACATGTTTATAATCATTTATTCATACCATATCATATAAATCTAAACCAGTTTCACCAGGAATCGACACAAAACAAAATTTTAATTGATATTAATTGTATTATTATGATTTTGACAAAATCAAATATACATTTCCAATTAAATTAGAATTAAACTATATAAAATAATTTTTGAGCTAAATACGAACCAGATGAGAAGCTAAGTGGTCAGATGAGCATGAAAAAGCAACTGAAAGTACATCGTATAACAGGAAGCAGTTGTTTGCGTGCAACAGGAAGCAGTTGTGTGCGTGTAATAGGAAGTATATGTATAACATGAAAGTGTTAACCAAGAAAGGTAATTTGGTCATTTATGAATCTCTATATTAATATTATTATACTTTAAAAAAAAAACAAATTTGTTTTCGTAAGATATTACGTTACTATGTTATTAGAAAAAAATTGTAACCACCAATTTAATTCACCTCATTAAGGGTTATAAAGTTAATTTACTTTTGAATCCAATTGTGTTAATCGCGAGTCATTGATCTAAAATGCAGGTCTATGAGATTTCTTTATTTCTTTTAAACGTCATACACAATATCTAAAATAGTAAAATCACTTATATTTAAATCTAAGATTTTCTTGTTTTTCTAATTGAATATACTACTAATTTCATTAGCATGAAATTTTGCGTTACCAAATTATTGTTATCTTAAAAAAAAAGTATATTAACAAAAAAAATATTTCCAAAAAAAAATTAACAACCTAAATCGAGTTATGGTTGATCCCGACGTGAACATGGAGATGGCAAAGGCGAGTTCGCACTTGGGTGCTACAGAGAGCTTAAGGCGGATATTTGGAAAGAACAACGTGCTCCTCCAGAGCAAGGATATTCATAAATATGTCCGGAACGTGACTACTCGATTTGTTGGTCCCGACGGTTTAAAAACAAGATTAATTCATGACATTGATATAAGAGGCCTCAAGAAGCCCACCAACTATGCCTCATGAGAAGCCCATCATCATATGTAATTAGGGTTTTCTAGTAAGTCTAGATTCATATATATGCTATTATGAGAGTTAATGTAAGCAACTTTGGGAGTTGCCATTTGGAGCAACTCTCTTCTTCTCAACTTATGAAATATCAAATCTAGAATCATTTAATCTTGGTGACAATTTAAGCTTTCTCGCATTTTAGTTTCTTTGCATAATAAAGCTCTATATGAGCTATCTCCTTCTTAGTTTCATATTCCTATGTTAATAAGTTCTCTACGAGCATTAATCTCATTGTCTTGAGATTGTCTACAATTGACAATTTGTTACGAAATGATGTTGAGAACGGAGCACTAAACGGTTCTTTCGACGTTAGAGAGGTATCAATCAAGGTAATTAAATTCAAATCTAAAATATAATTGAATGAGGGGTTATTGGTTCATAGATTTATTTGTTATTTAATCCAAACTAAAATCATTATGGAAATCCAAACTAAAATCATTTGTTATTCAATCATTGATTTTAAAATCCTAACTAAAATCATGTGTTATTGGTTTTATGATTTATAAATACTAGTTAAAATACTATCTTATTCGTTTACTTATTTGTTTTTGGATTTTAAAATCCAAATATGTTTTAAATGAATTTGAATAGATTTGAAAGAGAAAAATAGAAGGATTCAAATCAATGGGTAAACAAATGTTATTTCAAAATTCATATGTCTTGATTTCATATAATTGAATGAGGGGTTATTGGTTCATAGATTTATTTGTTATTCAATCCAAACTAAAATCATTATGGAAATCCAAAATAAAATCATTTGTTATTCAATCATTGATTTTAAAATCCTAACTAAAATCATGTGTTATTGGTTTTATGATTTATAAATACTAGTTAAAATACTATCTTATTCGTTTACTTATTTGTTTTTGGATTTTAAAATCCAAATATGTTTTAAATGGATTTGAATAGATTTGAAAGAGAAAAATAGAAGGATTCAAATCAATGGGTAAACAAATGTTATTTCAAAATTCATATGTCTTGATTTCATAATTAATAAATATTTTCAAATCCTATATATATCTACAAATCAATAATCCAATAACAAATCTCTTTTTTTTTTCCTTTTTGGATCAGCTGCATGATTAGATTATTCAATCATTGATTTTGATAGAATTGAAATATATAACTAATCCACTGTTATTCAATCAATGATTCTAAACCATGTTTTATAGTTTGGTGTTATTGGATCTCATATTTGTAAATCATGCTTAAAAGATCTTAAAGTTTGGTGTTATTCAAAACTAAAATACATTTCCCTACCAAAAAAAAAACTAAAATACATTTAAAATTTGTGTATGTTAAGTGATTTGAAATGAAATCTCTTTGAGTTTTATGAGTAAATTATTATTAGCCAATTTATTTTGTTTATATCTTCCATTGAATATAATATCATATATATCAAAACAAATAAAATTCCATCATTTATATATGATTTATATATATATATATATGTATATATATATATATTTATATATATTTTATATCAACTGAATTATTATTTCAAAATATTAAAATTAAACCAAAAATTGATCAGATATAGAATTTTTTCGGCAGTGTAAATGAAACAAAGAAAGTTACGAAGAAAATAAAATCATTTAATTTAGGAAGACTCAAAAAAATGCCCATTTTTCAATACACCTTTTCAAAAATGCCCCATTTGGCTGTCCATTTTTAAAAATATCCCTTTTTATGTACAAAATAACTAAATTACCCTTCTTTTAATAAAAAATATCACAAATATATAAGGAAATATAACAAAATTAGGTCCACAAAATACAAAATATTTTTTGGCGGGAAAAGTGATCCCGTAATTTTTACCGCCAAAACACTTGTAAAAACTTGTAAAACTTTTAAAATACCTTGTAAAATGTTCCCGTAAAATTTTTTCCCGCCAAAAATTTTTTTTGCAGAAAAAGTGATTCCGCAATTTTTTTGGCGGGAAAATTTTTGGCGGGAAAAATTTACAAGGTATTTTAAAGGTTTTTTACAGGGTATTTATAAGGTTTTACAATGTATTTTAAAAGGTTTTACAACGTATTTATAAGGTATTTATAAGATATTATAAGATTTTACAAGTTATAAGGTTTTACAAGTTTTTTTATAAGGTTTTACAAGTTATAAATACCTTATAAAACCTTATAAGTATCTTGTAAAACCTTTTAAAATACATTGTAAAACCTTACAAAACACTTGTAAATACTCCTTAAAACCTTCAAAACACCTTGTAAAATTTTCCCGCCACAAAAGTGATTCCGCAAAAAAAGTTTTTGGCGGGAAAAATTTTTACGGCAAAATTTTACAAAGTATTTTAAAGGTTTTTACAAGTGTTTTGGCGGGAAAATTGCGGAATCACTTTTCCCGCCAAAAAATATTTTGTATTTTGTTGACCTAATTTTGTTTCAAATAAGGGTAAAATGGTCATTAAAAATTAAAAGAGGGCAAACTTAAAAATGAACTCTCAAAGGGGGCATTTTTGAAAAGGAGTATTGAAAAAGGAGCATTTTTAACAATTTCTCTTTAATTTAGTTTCTATATCTTATATATATAATTATTGTGAATCAGATTAAAAAACTGCATATAATAAATAAATAAAAATTCACTAAAAAAAAAACATCTTATGTGTGATAGTTAGGGGTGTCAAAATGGTTAACCCAACTCAACTCAACTCATTACCCAATGAGTTTAGAGTTAATGAGTTCATGGGTTGACTCAACTCATTTAGCCAAATGAGTTGAGTCAACCCATGAACTAATTTAATTGGATGGGTTAGAAGGTTAAATGGGTTGACCCATTAAATATTAATGTAATAAATAAATTAATAATTAAAATATAATAATAATAATAATCATCATCATCAACATCACTATTATTTGGCGGAAAAATCACGGATTTACGTTTTTGACGAGAAAATTACACATTCTCGTTTTTGGTTAAAAATTATAAATTTTTGGCACGGAAATCACGGATTTACGTTTTTGGCGGGAAAATTATGAATTTACTTTTTTGGCGGAAAAATTTTACATTCTCATTTTTGGTTAAAAATTATAAAAAATTTTGGCGGAAAAATCAATGATATACGTTTTTGGCAGGAAAATCACAGATTTACGTTTTTGGCGGGAAAATTACGGATTTACGTTTTTGGCGGGAAAGTTTTACATTCTCATTTTTGGTTAAAAATTATTGAAAATTTTGGCGGGAAAATCACGTATTTACGTTTTTGGCGGGAAAATCATGGATTTACGTTTTTGGCGGGAAAATTACGGATTTACGTTTTTGGCGGGAAAATTTTACATTCTCATTTTTGGTTAAAAATTATAAAAAACTTTGGTGGGAAAATCACGGATTTACGTTTTTGGCGGGAAAATTACATATTTTCGTTTTTGGTTAAAATTATAAATTTTTTTGGCGGGAAAATCAATGATTTACGTTTTGGGCGGGAAAACTGCGGATTTACGTTATTGGCGGGAAAATCACGAACTTATATATTGATGGGAAAATTGTGTATTCACATTTTTGGCGGGAAAATTAAGGACTATATTCAATCGGTTTATAATTTTTGTTTAGACTCAAATTAAAATCGGTTTAGATATTTGAATTGGTTTGATTCAATTTAACAAAAATTGATGGGTTAAATGGGTAAACCATTGACCCATTACAACCCAACTCATTTGATCGATCAACCCATTTGACTCAATAACTCATTTGATCCATCAACTCATTTGAGTCAAAATTTTCAACTCATTAGGGTTTATGAGTTGAGTTGAGTTGGATTGACCCATGAATGTTGACCCATTTTGACACCCTTAGTGATAGTAAAAAACAATATATATATTTTTTTGATAAAAGGCTTAACAAAAACAATAAGAATGAAGTGTAAACTTCTGTTTTTGTCTTAAGTTATAATAATTTTTATGTTAATGTAAATTTCTACGGTAGTAAAATTTTGTATTAAACTACTTGGTTATTTATTGTATCATTTAAAAATATAATCCCGGGCGCATGCATGTAACCGTTAATCAGAAAAATCTGATACTAATCATCTAACGATATATGTTTTCCTAACATTTTTAATTTGAAGATGGTGGGTGAAACGGAATCCGAGGCCGTAAAAGAACTCGGGTTATGCTGGAATGCTTTCCGATCCAGTTGGTTTCAGTTCTCTTACAACATTCCTGGGACAACTGTTTATCGATTCGTTAAGGTAAGATTCATCTACGTGCATGCTACTAAAATCTTATGTTATAATGAACATATATATATATAATATAATACATGTGATTTTTGGTAGTCTCGGAGGAAGGCTGCGAAGCTGCTAACGGCCTTGATTCTGAAGAAGAAAGCATCAAAAGAAGGACTTGGCGATTTCTTGGACAGTTGGACATTATATTTGATGAAATGGAAAAGGATGGGGCCGCTTTAGACATAGACAGAGCCGTGAACTTGATATTCACCTTCTTCATACTCTCCCAAGAGACAACTCCCGGTGTTCTAGGAGCGGTTGTGAAGCTTGTAGCAGACCACCCCAGCGTTATGGAAGAACTACAGGTTTTGTTTTCTTATTGATATTCCTTTCTTAGTTAATGTTGTAGAGATCTACAAACAACATGTTAACCATGCAAAGAATTGCAGAGAGTGCACGAGGCGATTGTTCGAAATCGAGCTGATAAAGACACTGGAATCACATGGGAAAAGAATACAAATCTATGACATTCACTCACATGGTAAGGTTTTGATCGGTTTATTACACAATACACTTCTCGAAGGAAAAAAAGAATTTATATGTCCATCATGTTTTCAGGTCATCAAAGAGTCGCTTAGGTTTACTAGTACACAACCTACCGTGCATAGAATACATGCTCAGGACGTTCAGATTGGAGGTTGGCATATCTTCTTACATTGCACCATTAATACCTGCTAATGATTAGTGTAGTGCTTACACACAACAGAGAACATATAGAGTTTGCTCATGAGTTAGTGATTTTTTTAACAGATTATACATTACCTGCTGGGTGGCTATTTTTTGGCATTCCGCAAGTTCATTTTGATGAAGAAAAGTATGGTGACCCACTTACTTTTAATCCATGGAGGTGACAGGTAATTGCTTGGATTCATCAAGAGTGTTATAATACAAACATAAAGAATTAGGTTTAAGTATAAACATTTTATGTGTGTCGATAATAATTTCAGGGAAAAGATATACACGGTACGGTATCTAGGGATTCAGGGCCGGCCCAAGTTCTTTTGCTACCTAAAGCAAAAATGTGTTTGGCCCATTTAAGAATATCTGTTGGAAGAAAAAAGCATAAATTTTAACAAAAACTAGATTCGAACCCAGCACGTAGAACATGACAAATAGTGGCATTGACCACTATACCACCAACAATTTTGAAATATGATGCCCCCAAATTTTGTTAATAAATTCTGATGCCTAAAGCCCTAGCTTCACCAGCTTTAGCTCCGAGCCGGGCCTGTAGGGATTACATACCGTTTGGAGCTGGCGGGACTCATTGTGTAGGGTGTGAGTTTGCTAAGCTCATAATTGCAACCATGCTCCATCATTTGTTCCGATTCAGGTTAATTAATTTAAACTTAAGAGTGTTTATTAGACCAATTTGAAGAAGTAGATTGTTAATTATGTCGAAACTTATATGATGTGAATTTGTTTTGTCAGGTGGTCATTGGACCCAAAAACAAGAGTGCTTCGAAGGTATACACTTACGTTCCCGGCTGGCTGCGTAGTCCACATCTCCAAGGATTCCGAGTGATGATCATTGAATTTTGGTCTGGCCTTATATTTCTTGTATAATAATTTTGTGGTTTGTTTTGCCCAAAAAAAAAAAAGACCTACTCCTTTGTTTTTGGTTTTTTTTTTTTTAATAACCTACTCGTATGAGTACTGTTTGGTGTGTCTTTATCTCATTACCTTATGTTTATTATTCCACGTGTCTTTTTCTCATTAATTCCTTATGTTTATTAGTCCAGAATCTCTATTTTTTCATTGACGAATTTTGAGCTTTCTGAAATACTGCAAGGCCCCTTCTTATCTATTCTCAAGCATTTATATAATTTCTCTGTTTCTATCATTTTCTTGTTGGCTAATCTCAATTTTAGTTTTCCAGAAAAGGTTTTGAACATACTATAGCATATGTATTTGATTAGGTTATAGTCCGGTTCTAAAAATCCCCACCTACCTCGATTACTCCACGCTTATCGCTACGTCCACTCTATCCGCTTCGATTAATGACTAATTCCCTAAAGAAATCAGTTACCCTATAACTCTCCGCCTAGTTCGATTACTTTCCGCCTAATCCGATTATTCCCCGCCTAATATTACATGCCCCTATTATTTTTAGACTGCAAGTTTAAAAAAACTTATTTTTAGACTGCAAGTATAAAAAACTTTTTTTTGTTATTCAATCATTTAAATTAGGAGTTTGTGATGTTTTACAATAACTTATGTTCAAATTTTAATAAAAATCATAAATTTGTAATAAAAATCATAAAACTTTGTCTCAAAAATATATTTTTATGTGTTTACTGCAATTTTGAAAACAATATTTGATTAATATGTTTTAAAAATATTAAAATAATTCTAAAACTAATCTCCGATTAATCCCCGATTTTAATCCGATTTTCGATTAATCGTTAGGCCCATACCAAACGTCCGATTAGCGCTAGCAAATTTTCAAGGGGTTATAGTCAGTCATACAGTAATCAATTATCGCAATCCAATAAATCACCGAAGTTATTCTATTAAATGCCTAAGACATATTACACGCCGCTCGATCAAATATCACCTAAGTTTATAATGCAAGTTATTCTAATATGTTGCCACTAGATCATAACCCGTGCTGGAACAGCACGGATGAAATTTTAATTTTTAAATATTTATATAAAGTTGGATTATTGTTTGTTTTATAGTATAATTTTAATAATTCTTTACATAATACAATGACATATAAGGATTTTTTTATTTTATTTTGTTTGATGAGAAAATATTAGGAGTGGGGTACGGTTTTTCGGTTTAGTATCGTTTTTTTCGTTTTGTAGAAAGTGAAACCATATAGAAACCGTATGTAATTCGGTTTAGTTACAGTTCGATTTTTACGGTTTTTTACGTTTTTTGGTTAAAAATAAAACGTATGTATTTGATATATGCTAGTAGTAAGTGAAAAAAATTGTGTATATAATAAACATATTTTGGTATATAATAAGATTAAATTCAACTCGTGCATACCTATATTTATATTTTAGAATCCCAATAAAAAAATTGTGTGCACAATCAATCATTCATTATTTTCATATATACTTATAGAATCAAAATTTTAAATATTTAGAGGTGTCAAACCTTATTTAACTCATCTCATCATATAATCTTAATATGGTTTCGGTTATAAAGATCATAACTCTTTTTATCATATAATACATTACATTTAACCTTCTACTTGTTATAAATATTTTAATTATTTATGCTTTGAAAAAGGAAATTAGAGTATTTATAACTTTTATCTTTTGATTTATTAAATATTTATGATATTCTGTAAAATATTATATTAAACTATTTTTAAATTTTTCCAAATTAAAATATATTTTTTTATTTTTTATTGTAGAATATAAAATTAAGAATTTTTTTAAAATAATTGTATGAACTTAAATATAAATATTCAAATAGTTATAAGGATCATAACTCATTTCATCATATAATACATTATATTTAACCCACCGTCTATTATAAATATTTTTTAAATATATATGTTTAAGAAAACCAAATTAGCATATGTATAATTTTTAATTTTTTAATTTATTAAGTATTGATGATATTTGTTTTTAAATATCAAGTAAAACTATTTTTAAATATTCTAAATTAAAATATTTAAAATTGTATCGTAGTATATAAAATTATATATTTTTTAAAAAATATATGAAATTGAATATAATAACTCAAATTCTGACCCGTTATTCAGGCGGAATTTGTTTTGAATTTATTTTTGTTTAAAGGAAATATATTATCCAAGTCTAAATTTTTGACTCGTTAATTTTTTTTTACATAAATTGAATAATTTATATTCGTTTTAAAAAATTCAAATTATGGCATATGCGGAAAAAAATCTATTTTTTATTATTATATGGATGATATGATGATTTATTTGTTTCACAATAATAGAATCATATAAAGATGAGAGGTGAAATATAATGATTAATAACAAATTAATAAGGTAAGTTAGATATCAAATCTTATATATTCATTTTGATTGGTCATTTAAAAATAATAATAATAATGTGTTTTTCGTTTTTATAATTAAATTAAATTAATTAAATTATATAAATTGACTTGTTTATCCTTAATAAGATGAATTAATTTACTCTTTGAAATTTTATCTCTAATGGCATTTTTAGGTAATTTTTTACAAAAGGAAGGTTAGTTAAGGGTATCTTATAAAGTGTACTCTCCAAATAATAGTATAGGATACGAAAGTTTACCCACATGTGGCTCCTTATGTGCTTTACTTACATCATGTTTATTGTGATCATGTCCTAAGTTTTGTCATTGAGTTGATAAAATTTTGTTAGCAAGGTAATGTCTTTTTTTTTTTTTTTTTTGTTAGCTAGGTATAATGTCTCTTTTATTAATGTTTCTTCACTTTGAACAATAGGTCTTTGTATCATTCTGAAATTCAAACGAGAGTTCAGTATTTTAGGAATTCATTGCATAGATAGTTAACACTACGAGAGTGAGTTGACTTTATCTTGGAGATTCATGTTATCTGATATATGCTTTCATGAATCCCTACTTTTTCCATGTGCACAATGCTTTTAATCTATTGAATTCTCGCTAATTGTTTTCTTTGTTTATTTTATTTTTAATTTAGTGAAAAAAACAGTGTAAACAATGTCCCCTGAATTGGTTTTTGGAGCCTTTCTAATAATCTATAAGTTGTTAAAGAAAAAAACAAGTGTTTATGTGGCGAGCTTTGTCAAAGGCTTTGGCGGTGGCTGAATGCATCACACAACATGGTATGCAGGCTGACCCGGTTTGTAAGGTTTGCAATTCAGCCATAGAAACTGTTTGTCATGTGTTTTTTTAATGTTATGGTGCACGTCAAATATGGGATTTAGCTAACCTTCCTCCCTTACTAGTAGCGGACCCAGGATTATTTTTTACCCAGGTCAGACATAGCTAAAATATTTTTTTTGTCAAGCCAAATGTATTTTTTCTTATCATAATAAGTAAAATATTGAAATTTAGGGAGGTCACATGACCCTCCTTTCTTGCACGTAGGTCCGCCAACAAGGAGTCTCGTCTTCTTTAGAAGACCAAATGGTTCATTTTTTTCATGTTAATGGAGAATAAAAGTATCCCTAGCAACATTAGATGTGCATTAATTACCGTGGATTCTATGGGATATATATGGAAGAAGAGAAATGGATTTATGTATGCTGGAAATCAGGGAGATCCTTATATTATATTAGGCTACGCTTTAGAAGAAGCTGATCATTGGCTGAAGCTTAATGAAGATACATCAATGTCTTTCTCTCAAAGTACAAGAAGATCTTAACCTGGTGAGAGCAAGTGGATGAAACCAAGGCAAGGAACGATAAAGTATAATGTCCATGCTTCCTGGTACAATTCTTCGTATAATGTGCGGAGGAGCTTAGATTGCTAGAGATTATACAGGAGATGTTTCTTTTCACGCTCGTGATGATTTTTTGCCTACAATAAACAGGTTATTGGCAGAACTTCATTGTATTTGCTGGGCTGCAGAGAGTCTTCGTGACTTGCGTTTTTTACGACATTGAGATCTGTTCGGAGTACAGAGCTGCTTTTGAAGCGGTTAACAATCCCCTTAAATGACCGCGATACCGTAATCTTGTTAGTCGTATGAAGCGAGCTTTACCTGGCTTCAGTAAATATCGTATCAAGCTATCGTCTCCACAAGCCAACCATGTGGCTCGAAGCATTGCCAAAAGTGTCACAAAGGATGGCCGTTTCCAATCATATTTAGCAATGGGAGGACCGGCTTGGCTTCATTCTCGTATTGAAGAAGAGAGATCTATTTAAGTTATCTTTTCTATAATTTAAATCTCTATGTTTTAGAGATGTATGGCTCTGCTTTCTTTTTATATGGTTTACAACTCTGTTTAATGTTCTTTCTTAAATTTTGGAAATAAAACCAGGCCACAAAAAAAAAAAAAAAAAAAAAAAATTATGGTAATTACTTTATACCAAATAAATTAGATAAAGTGATAATTATGTAGGATAACATCGTTTTATTAATAAAACATGATTTTCCGGTAGGTTACATTTCTTGCATTACATCTTGAAGATATAGATTCAGTGTATCCAAATCTTTATTAAGGAAACAATAAATTTCAGTGCAGGATTTAGACCAAGACACTAGGATTCAGGGAAGCAAAGGCGAGCAATTCTGGGTTCTGCTCAAAGGACAACATGTTCTCTTCAGGCAGTGTGACAAACGCTTCAATTCCTTTTTTGTCTTTGGAATCGACCAACATGGCTAAGTTGCCAAAAGCAGGAGCAACATTTCCGGTAACCCAAACTGGAGATCCCCATCCAAAACTAGCCTCGTAAAGTGGTAGCTTGCACCAGCTACTCACGGTGTAGGGCTCATGAGTCTCATAGCTCATCTTCAAATAATTAGTGAGCATCAGATTTGCAAGTTTAGAACCGATCATTGAAGATGACCCCTCCTCGTCTTGGATCACAATTTGTAAGTCATTCTTCTTTTTCTGTAAGTCTCTAACGGCCTCTTCAATTTTCACTTCCCCTTCTTGACCAACACTCAAAACCACAGAAGAGAACATGACATTTCCGATCAAGTTTTGTGACAGAAGCGAGGGTATCTTGGAGCGCAAGTTAACTGGTTGGATCAACACTTTCAGATCACAAGTAGTAGTCGTTGAGGATGCCGCAGAGACGAACCCTTTCCAGAAAAGCGCAGTGACGCTCTCCACCCGTGTAGGTCTGTCTACGGCTTCTGCACTAGCGACTTTAGTGCTCAACTCTTCTAACTTAGAAGCATCGAACACAAATCTCTTCGTGATACTGCTTCTCTTGTTGGCTTGTTCATCCACCGGAAACTTAAAGGCCTCGTTGGCTGGTGGGTAGAAGTTTGCTGCGGCAAACTCGGTACCCGCCACTCCGTCTTCGGCCTCTCCTCGAGCCATACCAGCCCAGCTCTTAATGAAACTAGAGATAGAGGTTGCGTCGGCAATCTTATGAGAGATGCAGATTCCTATTGCCATGCCTCCACATTGGAAGTAAGTTGCCTTCACAAGCAGCAAAGGCCAGGTCGCAGCAGCCATGTATGGGTTGTCCACAACGTCTAGAGGAAGCAACTGTTGGAGGGAGTCGAAACCAGGGCATTTGAAAAAATCAGAGAGAGAACAGTTATTGACACGAGCATCGACAAAGATAGTTCCTTCATCGTTACAATCTACGGTTACTCCGTTGATTCTTCCGGCAAGAGGGTAGAACTTGGTCAAGGTTTCGGACAGAGAAGTCTTGAGTTTGTGGGAAGTGTGTTCTTGAGAGATGAGATCATTTTTGGTGTAGAAGAGAAAGGCTACTGTGTAAATCGGAGGAAGGATGTGATCATAAATTGAGAGTTGGAGAGTTCGGAGATCATTTGGAGTTGGGGAAGATGGCTTTATGATTTCTTTACCGATGGTTTCAACCTTCATCGTCTCCATCGATTCTTTCTCTGTTTCTTTTTTTTGGTTCTCTCTCTTATTTAGACGTAGAGTAGAGTAAGAGAAGTACAAGTGCCTTTACAGAAATGTTCTACATTATCTTTAGAAGATATTTTAAATTGTTATCGTAAGTGCAAGCGGAAAAAATGGAGTAACTTAAACTAAATAATTTTAATTGCAAAATTTTGGGATAGCATTTTTATAAAAATGAAGCCTCGTTAACGAATATGATACATATCCCATACTATAACCTATTTAGTTAATTATCCATTTAGTCCAACACATTAAGGATTGGGAAAAAAATTAGATGGATACCTTTATTTCCCGTATTTCTGATTTGAGATGGAAATTATTTAAATAGCTTTATTAAACACTAAAAGTCACTAATTTTTTTTTTTTTTCAAAAAATCAATATTTAAAAAAAAATACTAGAATTTTCCAAAATAACCGTCTCTAAATGGATCCTTGCCCTTCATGAAGTCGTATTTTACCCAAATTAGTGAGAGTATAAAAACTGAATTCCGCTACTCAAATTTATCGATTCTGTCATGTTACCCAAAACTTCCGTCACGTTCGTATTATATTTTGATTACCCAAATAATCTGTTCGACTGTTACCATCCCCGTTATTTTCCCTCCCGTTATCTGAAATTGACATGCTTAATTTAGCTTAAGACATATTTTGGTTGTAAGAATAAATAGTGTTATGTGTATATCTTTGAAACTAATTAAAAAAATTATAAAAATTTAATTAGGAGTGTTAAATACGGGTTCGTATCATTTTGGTTTTGGTTATTTTGGCAGATTGGTATAGTCAAATAGTGATATTAGGTAAACCACATAATAGGTATCCAGAAACGAGAAGAAAAGAAAACTGGAATAATTGTTCCACTAATATAGAGATTGACTAAAATGAAAGTCATTTTCTCGTTTGTACTTCTCCTATACTAATATAGAGATTAAGTATTTATTATTTCTATTTCTAGCCACAGTACTGTGTGGGTGGAAAGTACCATCCTTCAATTTAATGAACAACGGCCCATATACTTATTGCCGGTCCAGGCCGTGTCCCGTCCATAAATCTCTACTCTAACGACGTGCCATATATATTTAATTTCTATTGTAATTGAAATTACATAATTATGGACATTAGGTCAGAAGTATTTAATATATATGGCTATATGATTGTGTGTGTTGTCCAAGGATGAGAAAAATCTAGCCACAGTACTGTGTGGGTGGAAAGTACCATCCTTCAATTTAATGAATAACGGCCCATATACTTATTGCCGGTCCAGGCCGTGTCCCGTCCATAAATCTCTACTCTAACGACGTGCCATATATATTTAATTTCTATTGTAATTGAAATTACATAATTATGGACATTAGGTCAGAAGTATTTAATATATATGGCTATATGATTGTGTGTGTTGTCCAAGGATGAGAAAAATCTAGCCATTCTTTTGTGGTAATTGAAGCCATGCATATGAGAAGTTTCTAGCTATATCACACAAGTTGGGTGATCTTGTGAAAATGTAGAGACGATTGAATTGTATCAACTGCTGAACTGCCCCAGGTCCTTCCCATTAAATGGTAGAATATGACATATTTTTGTCGTGTAAAGAATATTAAATCCTACCATCTACCGCTTTAATGGTGTGATTAGGGGAATATAATACAATAAAACTTTTATAAATTAATACTCGATAAATTATTAACCATTATAACTAAATTTATCCGGTCTTTAAGTTGGGCTAGTGTCAAAAATGACGTAATTCGATTTTTTTTTTAATAGGGATCAAATTATCAAAGTGTTCCGCCTCGTTTCCAACTAAAGACTTTCATAAAAACATATTGGATGGCTTCTATACACCTATCATATTTTGTGTATAATTCGGTTTGGGGATTTACTAGAGTTTGAACTAGGTTCCTCTTCAGCTTTCCTTTTTGAATTTCTTTTAGTTATCATTCCTTATTTTTAGTTTGACCTCCTCCTTCGCCTCCATTTTGCATTAACTGGTTATGTTTTCGACCAATCTTGTTTGAAAAGGATTAAAATTCAACATAGACCAAAAAATAGACAAATTTTTATTTTAGATGATAAAACCAACTCGATTTCAGATCCAACTCGATATTAGATCCGATCCAGAACTTAAACATTTATATCAAACCTTCTAATTGATTTAAAAGGTTTCAAAATCAGAACAATTTTTTTAAAAAAAGATATATCCCATTCTTCCTTCATTGCCAACACCAGTCCACCTATGGGATCCGCCAAACCGCAAACATAGCCATGTGCAAGTAGCTTCTAAAATAAAATATGTTATCAATTTTTTCAATTTATAAGTGTATATTTTGGATATAATTTTGATTTTTTGCAAATTGTAATTTTTTGGAATTTTTTTTAAAACATCTGAAGATATTTTGTTATTTAAAAATAAATTAAAAACCCTTAACTTACCGTTAAGTCGATGACCCAAATATTGTGATCCAGATAAGGTAAAACAAATCACAGAGAACTTCCATAAGCTATATTATGGAATTTGATGTTTGCTTCAAATCTTGAATTTAATGTCTATGCGCAAACTTCTAATGAATTTAATGGCTAGGCCAGATTTGTCAAAAATCAATACCATGTCTCAATAATGTGTTTCTGATTTTGCTCATTGACCCACTCACCAAAACCAGATCTAGATTTTGTGTACATTAAATGGAGAGTAAAAAAAAAAAAAAAAAATGGAGAGTAAACAAACAAAACTTACATTTTAAAAGAAAATGTTTTGTTTGTTTACTCTCCATTTAATGTACACAAAATTTTTAACTTCATCATTTTTTTTTCCAATTTCTTTACTAAAGACATTATTGTAATAGATAGTAACTGAGATTTTGTAAAAACTTCAAAATAGTAGAAAAGCATGAAATAAGAAAAGAAAAATATGGACAAAAGTTTGGCCAGATTTCAATTAGACTATAACAATCATTTGTTATAGAATTCAGTTCTGTTACAGAAAACCAAATGAAATCATATATCATTGATAATACACATACACGTATTTGACAAAATGAATAATGATTCACTTTCAATGAGCCCATATATTTTAAAATCTGATAAACTTTAATTCTAATGGAGTTGACCTCAACTTATACAACCAATAACACCCCCTTATTTTATTATTAGTTCTTTTATTTTATTATTAGTTCTCTTTTCTCTAACTCAATTAATACCAAACTACCTTTTATTTTGTGTAAGCCCTAACAAAAATAATAACCAGATAAATACTTTAGTTCTAACAGTAAAAATAACATTGTTATTGTTGTCAAAAACAATATTCATCATTAGAAAAAATAAAGAAATAATTATTTTTGTGGTTATCTATTTGATTAACAATGTAAATCAAATTGTATCGCGATAACTAAAAAATAAAAACACTGTTCAGCCAAACATCGAAAACTCTATTCATCACGAGATGTAATAAAAAATAGTAATTTTGGTGATTATTTATATAATTAGCAATATAAATTATATTATATCATGATAACTTTACATGTTATATGGTAAAATTATATTTATCGTGCTAATATATTTATTATATGATTGTTATCAACTAACTTATATAATAATATGTTTATTTATTTTGATAATTAATTAATTACCGTTAACTTATGCATTAGCATATTTATCTATCATGATAATTTGTTTATCACGGTTAACTTATCTGTTATCATGGACGTTAAAAAAAATGTTCTTCTCTTCTCGAGTATCTTCCTCCGTCATCATGTCTGCCAAATTTTCTTCTTCTTCCATCGCACCTGCAACTTCATCCCAAGTTCACCTCATCACTTTCTCTCTTCTTCTTCTTCTTTCCCCACCTCTTCGTCCTCTCCATTTTCATTTTAAACTAAAAACCAATAATTTTCATCCCCAAATTCTTTCCCCACCTTTTCGTCCTCTCCATTTTCACTTTCATTTTCACTTTATTTTGTGTAAGCGCTAACAAAAATAATAATCAGATAAGTAATTAGGTGTGTAGAAGGAAAGGGTAAAAATGTCAAAAGATCAATCTCTCTTGTCTACTTAATTAAAAGAAAAAAATGCATACATACTTAATTATTTGATTGTCTGAGCATAGACAGTAATATTTTCCTTACCATATTGATTAAATAAATAATTTACTCGGACAGGTCGACTCGCGATCAATAAGACGAGTGACCTAGGTTAATGACCGCATTGCACATAACGCTGGAGAGTCTACGTTATTATTTGTGGCAGAGGGGGGAGGGGGGTTTGCTTTCGTGCCCGTACAAACAAAAAAAATGATTAAATATATAGTTAATTTGTCAAATGACAATATAGAAGATTATTAAAAAAAGGTGAATGAAATATATATACCTGGAAGGAAAAATAATTAAGAATGTATACATGAACATTCGTTATTTAAGTGGATATTTTGTTGCAAATAAAGAAAGACGGAACTGCCCCTACACGACAGAAAATCGATAGCGTTCTTACGCAAGATAACGAGCATTTAATGCAAAATATTAAGAATCAGACTTTTGTTTTTTTATTAGTTCTGTCTCTTTTGACTCAAATAAGACCTAAAATATCATTTTTATGCGCTAATAAAACAATTACGAGGTAACGAGTTTAGATCTAAGAAAAAAGTAAAGATTATTTATCCAACGTCGGAAATACTATTCATCACCGGAAACAATAAAAAAAACAATGTCTTTTGTGGTTATTTATTTAATTAACAGTGTATATAATATTGTATCGCGATACATTTATAATTTATATGGTAAACTTATATTTATCGTGCTAAATCATTTATCATATGAATAGTATCAACCAACTTATACATTAACATATTTATTATCATGATAATTTAATTATTATGTTTAACATATATGCTAGCATTCATATATATGTTGTTAATTAACTTATATGTTAGCATTCATAAATTATGTTGAAAAAGACCGAAGAGGACAAAATCCGACCGAGCGAAGTACCTGCAATAGACAATCGTTCATCTTCATCCAAAGCGTCTATAATGCCGCCGAGGGTTTTAATTTTGTGATAGACATTGACTCTTTCCCCAAGAGGTTTTTCCCCGGCAGCAATCAAACA